GAGGAATTAATAGAATCTATACCTTAACCTCTTTACAGCGAAACTGCTCATCCAAGGAAAATCATCAACTCCAATAAGCAAAGAATATTGCATTATCATCAATTTCTACTCATCTTCACTATCTTTTCCTCTATCTTCATCCTCAAACAAGTCCTCTGGTGGATCATACACAATCATGTCAGGGAAAAGCTCCAAAAAATCGTCTTTGACCTTCTCTCTCAATTCTGGATATGGGAGGAGCCCTTTCAAGATTACACGAAAGGGCAGAGATAATGGGGGATCTGGTGATTGCCTCATTTCATCATATATGTCCATTGCCTCTGAAAGTAGTCCACTATCCAAGAAGGCTCGAACAAGGTCTCCAAAGGTATGTTGATCAAACAAAACTTCCTCTCTCTTCAAATCTTGCCAAACCAGCTTTGCTTCATCTACCTTTCTGTTTCTAGCAAGCATCATTAGCATGTCCCTGTAAAAGTACATGTCAGGTCGGTACCATATTTCCTTGCGCACTACATCATATAGCTGAAAATAAAAAGATAAATCAGAAGTGTGAGTGTTCATATACAAAAAAAATAAATAAATAAAAATAAATAAATAAATCCGCACAATCCATACAAGTTTAGTCCAATAGAGTTGGAAATTCCTGATCTTTTAATAACATGGGAAAGCCAAACTACTAATTCAATTTCTAATTCTTCCTTTATCCATCTGTCTTCTTCAAATTGAAAAATGGTAAGCAAGCACCATATCCTTTCCAGAAGGGGACATTCAACAATGCAGTTCTATGACTCAAAAAACTAAATACACTTACTACTTAAGGTAGGTGATAACTTCACCAGGTGCCATTTTTGTCCAGAAATTAGGATTTTTATGCCATATATTTGAATGAAATAAGTTACGACAGCCATGACTTGTACCCACTGCTAACTATCACATAATAAGATTCATTTCCTGGAGTCCTGAGTTGGGTACTTTAAGAATTGCCATCTTTCTCAGATTCATTTGAGTTTCACTTTCCCATTCATCATCATTATTTTTCACACTCATCTTCAACCTAAAAAACCCTCCATCAAAAATCTCCATACATTAAGTTCACTGATCCTGGCTGACTCTAAAGAATATTTTCACATTTCCTGTTGAGTTTTTAAGTTGCATCCAATAACTTATCCCTGGCTTGACACCAATTATGCTAAAGTCACCCATTTCTAGAACTAGAACCATCTGGGTCCATGCAATCTGCAAGACATGTTATACATAACCATATTTCCATATGGCAAATATGAGTCAGTATATGATAAAGTGGAAAGATATACTGATACAAACAAAGGATCGGAAAGGAGAAAATCCAATTACCCTTTCTCATCTCCACCCTCTCCCTCCTAATCCCTCCCCACCCCTCCCTAGTTTCAGTTGAGACATCCAACATGGAGGCTAAAGCTCTTTAACTGTTGGTACATCACCTTAGGACACTTTTACATTAAGTTATTACCACCTACATTTGTAAAAGACTTAAAAGGTTCTTGATTACACTTAAAGTAGTACCTGGAATGTAAGATCCTTGAACAGAAGCACACAATGAAGTACAACTATCAGGAAACAAGCACCAATTCCCAATCTATAAACGTGGGAGGTATGCTAAGTGCTAACATTCTTTAGAGACAGATAACATTATAAGCAAAGACTGAAAGTCTGAAACTGGAGGCAGCCAAATGAAGGGAATGAAACCTTCCTCCATTAGCAATTTACAATTGACGATATTAAAAACTATTGCAAATATCCTGAAGAGAGTTGCAGACACGCACGCACACTCACAAGAAATGCTAGAAACCAAAATGAATACAATCAACCCAAAAAATGAACTGCTCGCTACAATACGGGACGGAACAACTGCATGAGAATTAAAGAAAAAGGAAAGAATCAAACCTTCATACAGAGGAAGACCTGGTCCTGCCTCTGGAACTCGGCGAGAACAGCAAGGAGATCGGATTTCAGCAAGCGAGAAACATTGGACCGGATGAAACGATCGAGACGGACAGGATCGGAGCGGAACCGCTTGAGCTCCTTGGCCGCAATCAGTCCCTCTTTGGTCATCTCCTTCTTCCGCCTCCATAACGACAAGCTCGGGCTCGATGCCGAACCGGAGGCGTAGCGAACCAGAGGAAGCCTCTCATGTTTGTGTTTTGCGAAAGAGTTATGGAAAAGCAAGGAAATCAGCGGCAGCTGGTAGATTTCGGAGGGTTTGGAGGAATTTCTGCGCAGAAGTTTTGAAGCGAGATGCAGCATAGAAGGTAGTGCTTCGTTCGTCCGTTTCGATCTTCGATCTCCAGAACTCGGAAGTGGGAAAGTAGTATCTTTCCTTAATCCCTATTTTTTTTTTTTAACAGAAAATGGCCAAAAAAAGTTTTTCTTTTAACAGAAGATTGTTTGTCCGTGAATCCTGTAAAAAAATTAGGTGATAATCTTTAGAATAATGTTATTTTAATAAATTTTTATTAAAATAAATTATTTTTAATTTATAATATTTTATTAAAATAATATAATTTTAAAATACTTTTTATTTAATTTTTCTTTTTTTTATAAATTCAACTAATCTCATTTTTCAAATTGAGGCAAAATAAATAAACCTTCCTTGATTTTGATCTAATGATTATCACTAGAGATCAAGATTTGTGATATTTAATTTTAATTATAGTAGTTTTAAAAATTTTAAGTTTAAATTTCAAAATAAATAATATTATTTTTATTATTCAAAAGAAACAAGTCACACTTTATTTGTAATATAAAATTTTAAAGATCACAATATATGATTTGTCCAAAAATCATTACAATTCTAAATCACACATTTTAGAACTCCATAACAAGAAAAACCCTACTACCATTCAAAAATGAAGAAAATTACATATAATTGAGCTAGTAATTAATATGAGCTAACTTCACCATATCTTGTTTAAGATCACCGATGAAAAATCAAAAGAGTGCAGCGCAAACAGATATAAACCTCTCAAGTACTTGCAATGTAATAATAATAAGGCGATTCACTTTCTGCATCAAACTATCCTTGATACTGATAAGAGTAAAACCAAGCTTTTTGTAAGACAACAGACTTGCGAAGAACGAGTAAGCTTTGGGTTGGAAATGTCCATCAGCCTACCAGTTTTTGGACTGTAAACCATTATCTTTGGGTTAATGAAATTGTACCATAGTATTTCACCTTCTCTCCCATTCCCTACATGGAAAGTCAACCTTGTTAAGAAGCCTCTATAAGTTGGTACCTACAGTGTGTATTTCAGTGATGAAATAAAGTCTACCACCTATACTCTTGGTAGAGATACGAATTACTTTGTGGGTATTAGTTTGGACATAAAAACCAAGTCCATAACTTGGCCTACATAGAGTTGAAGCAGGAGTTGGTGGCAGGAGCAGAGTCTCTTGCAATGGAGGATTAAAGAGAATCATGGAACCATTCAAGAAATTGAAAAGACAGAGCAAGCAATGGCAAAAAAACCATCTAAGTTGTAACGATATGGAATGTGTATATATATCCACCATATCCTTATTATTATTATTATACTGCAGAGAAATATGTAACAGAATGCTGGTGCAAGGGATGGGATTAAGAAAAATCTTAGATTCTAGGGTACCATGTTTCAGGTGCATGTGAACAAGGCACATGGATTGTTGACCATATTATAGAGTGCCTTAGACCTGCACTTGAACCTCAGAAGAGTTTTCACAAGCAGCCTCGGCAGTCTTGTGAAGATGCCAAAACCAAACAAACCTTCAATTGAAATCCACTTGTGTATTCCAAATGAAAAGCAAACTCTCCATCATGATTGAAAGCCGATATGGGATTGAAATCATGTGAAGATTAATTATTAAAAGGCAGAGCTTGCTTATGATAAAAGACATTCCAAGGTTGCTTGCTCTCTTGATTTGAATTTGTGAGTCAGACAATTCAATCAATCATTGGAAAACCCAAGAAATCCATAAATAAGTTTGATAACAGGTGTGGCATCTCCTGAAGAGTATGGAAGGAGGGAATCTGTTAACAAATAATATGAAATTGCAGGAAATGAAAATGAATATTCTGAGTGGTGATCTCATTTTTTTTTATAAGATTTAAAATTCTTCAAGATACAATAAAACTCAAAATTCTCCTAAAAATTAAATGTAGAACTTTGATTTTACATAAGAATTTATATTGCTTGAAAAGTCATTGTTGAATGTATCCCTCCAGAAAAACACCATTTCATTGAGATACTTTTGACTGCTAAAAATTATGTCTAATTTTTAGACATGTTTTTCCAAATGATGTTCTGATAGTTAAGCCCAATGTTCATCTTTTGACTATATATAAAAGAGTAAGGTCCAATTTGCCTTGAATTTTACTTTACTTAATTATTTGTTAATAAAAAATAAAACTTTATAATCTCTTTTAAATTCTCATACTTTCTTAACTTGGTCTTAAACATTTACAAACTATTCAACGTGGGTCTTAAACATTTACAACTATTCAAGAGAGTCCATATTCATTACAGCTGTAGTCTGATGAAGTGTCTGAGGTCGAGCATAATATAGATGCTTCCTCTCTGCTAGTTCTTCTGCCAGCTCAGTTTGATGATAATCCATCAAATCTTCATTCACCACCACAATAAGAGTTTTACCGAGCCGCAAGGTCTCAAATATACCCCCAGACCCTGCAAAAAAACCTCAATAGTCTTGTGGCTGAGCAACTCTAAAATTATTTATCATAGTTAAACAAACAGAAAGCAACTACAGTGCCCTGTCAAACTTAGGCAACTGCAGGTGCAAAAATTAGTCTCTTTTCCTTCTACCAACAATAGGTATTCTACAGAGAGAGAGAGAGAAGAAAGAAGCACAGTGACAATAACTTGCCTGCATGACTTACAACAGGGGAAGCTGATCTCAGATGATCAGCTATGCTTGATGAAAATGTAAAGTAATCCACAGAGAGGGATCCATCATCTCCAACACACTGGGTGTAAAACTTGATTACAACAAGATTTGAAAAACTAATAAAGCAGTTAAAGGAAACAATTAGCCTATGTTTGGATACAAATTAGTAAAGAAAAGGAAAGGGAAGGGAGGGGAAGGAAAGGAAAGAGAAGTGAAAGAAAGGAAAAAGTTGATATTAATTTTGTTTGGATAGATGAAAGGGAATGAGAGGAAATAATGATATTTTTATATAATTAAATAATTTAATAAAAAATAAAATAAAAAGAGTAAAATTTTTAAAATTTAATAAAAAATAAAATAAAAAGAGTAAAATTTTTAAAATTTATTAAATAAATAAAATAAAATATTTACATATATCTATTTTATAAAAAATTTAAAACAAAAATGAATTAAATAATAAAATTCCTCTCAATTCCTCTAGGAGGAATTGAAAATGGAGAAAAAGAAGGGGCTTCATCTCCCTTCGTCTCCTTTTCCTTCATTAAAATTTTTTATCCAAACAATAAGAGGGGCTTTCACCCCTTCACTCTCGTCTCTTTTCTTTCTCTTTCAACTTTCTCAATCCAAACAAAATGTTAAGAAAATCATCAGATGAGAAAATTTTCAAAATAAAAAAAAGTAGTAGCTTCACTAAATTTATATTTGTTGAGGAACAAGCTAATCTTTCCCTTGATGCTGCAATTATGGATTGTATTGTATGTCCAAAAAATAAAGACACATATACCTTGGTGGGAAGGTAAGATCCTCGACCCCATCCGAATAAAAAAGATGAGTGTATCCCCTTCTGAACAACTCATCCTTCACTTTCCTCAGCCTCCCAACACCCTCATTCTCTCCCATTTACAATTGCCTTTTCCTGGATCGAAAAAAGGAACCAAGAATCAGAGATTAGAAACAGAAAGAAGAAGAATTAACACAAAAAAAATGGAATGTAATCCGAAGGAGAAAAAAAAAATTAAACCTCTAATTTAGTTCCTCAACTGTTAGATAGATTTTAGGTTGGTTCTTAAAGTTAAAAAAAAAAAAAGAAACATAGTGATAGGTATACTTTCTGATTCAACATTTGGTTCAACATCTTTTGGTTTAATCATTAAAAATCATTATTTTTTAATTTGAAATTAAAAACAGATAAGTATAATGATACAATCATGCACACATGATATAGTAACTGGTTGAATTAACTGTAGTTATATTATATTTTTTATGATTAAACCAAAAAATATTGAATCGGATATTAAATCGATGGGTGTACCAATCATTTCTTAAAAAAAATCTTGAATTTAAATTCAAAGGGTTTAAATTTAATTTTAAGTGTTATTATTTGATGATTATGTGTCATGTTAATAACAAGATAAATTAATTATTTTTTAAATAAAAAATTCAACTTAAAATTACATTTAAAAATTTTAAAAATCAAATTAAAAATTGTTTAAGTTTAGGAAACAATTCAAAAAATTCATACGACCAAATTGGAGTTTAAAAAAAATCGAACCAGAGGGAAAGGAACGCTGAATCGAAATCATCGCGGGCAATTTCAGTTCCAAGAAAATAATTTGACCCAACCCAGGAAAGCACCCCAACCATTTACGTAGTGGAGCAGGTATGCCCCGCATACGGCACGGCAGTAAAATAAAACCACCAGAGAATAACAAAATGCGTTAGGGACACCTTTATTCCCGTTTTAACCTGAGCGGACAAAATCAAAATCAGAGACAGAACATCACTTGACACCGGTTACCGTTTATCTCGGTGAACACGCGTAACTCAAACACCGGGCACTCTACTCCACGCTCCACGTTTCCACGTTCCTTTCACAGAATTGACAAGTGGTCCGAAAGTGGGCCCACTCAAGCGGTTTGTTGCCTTGTTACCTCGTTCGGAGACTTCCCCACGCGGATGCCGCGCGTGGTCGTGGGTGGGAGTGGATGGGATGGGTAAGAGTACTATGTACAATGCGCCCCAGTTAAGACTACGGTTGGAGACAATAAAGCTATGCCAGGTCAGCATTAATTGGCTTAATTAATATTTGCACTCCCATGTGTGCTTCCTTTCCACTCGATTTTCAATACTTACCATATATGATTGTTTGTGCTTGTGCCATAAAATCACTGGATTAAATGTGTTTTATTTTTCTGAACTAACTAGGAAATAAAACTTGAAGACAGTTATTTATTTTGTTATGGTATATGTTATATAATTAATATATATTTTTTACTTCTATATGTATATAAGAAAGTAGTCTTTTTTCACTTTATTGACATATTAGTTATTTTTTTGAAGATTTTGAAAATCAAATTGAATTTTTTTTTTTGGGTTTAGT